GAAGATGGCACAGGACCCGGCAGTGTAGTGCAACGGATGGCTATAAGCTGGAACTGACTCAATGGCACCTAACAATAGCAAGAACAATACCTTTGGATATTATTATTCAATCTGGCTGTGATTGCAGTTTATTCTCTTATTGAAGATAAGTGAAGCCTTGTTAGCGCAAAGGTTAAGCACTTGGCTGATGACCAAAAAGTACGCAGTTTAAACCCACCCAGTGGCTCTGTAGAAGAAAGACCTGGCAATCTTCTTCCATAAAAATTACAGCAAAGCATAATATAGTTCAGAAACTTATGTTCTACATCCTAGTCTAGTGAGTGATGTCTGGGGTCTTAAAAGCTTGTGACTGGCCATCTAAGATACAACTATTGGTCTCTACCTTTCTGGAACAAAACAGAAAGAAGGAAACCAAAGACTCAAAGAAGAAACTAGTCTACGGGACAAATAGTCTACATGAACCATGACCTCATCTACCCCGAGACTAGAAGAACTATATGGTGCTTGGCTACAACTATCAACCATTCTAATTAGGGCTACGATAGACGGACCCTGATAGAATGGGAGGAAAATGTGGAACAGAATCTCAAATTACTAACAAAAAAAAAAACAAAAAACAGACCTACTAGACTGGTTGAGACTGGAGGACTACCTGAGACAACAGCCCCAAGATACTCTTCAAACCTTGAACCAAAACTAGCTCCTTTAAGAAATCACCTATATGAGACCAAACAGTCAACAGTCACTTTAAAACAAAGATGAGAATGTAAGGGAGCAGGGAAGCTAGATTAATGGAAACAGAACAACCAGAACAGAAATAATGAGAATGTTCAAACGTTGTGAAGATTATAACCAATATCACTGAACAACTTGTGTAGAAATTGTTGAATGGGAACCTTAACAGCTGTGTAAACCTTCACAGAAAACACAATAAATATTATTTAAAAAAAAAAAAGATTATAGCCAAGAAAACCCTATGGGGCAATTCTACTCTGTCACATGGGGTCACTGTGAGTCAGAATTGACTCTATGGCACACAACAACGACATTGAAGATAAACATTGTATTATTACTACACAACATAAAAAATATTTAAATGTTGAATGGAAGATGATCAAATGAAGTTAGGTTTTCACATTGGTTTGTGTTTGGCTGGTAACCAAAAGGTAAGCATTCCTATACATTTTAAAAGTTAACACACATAATTATTTCCGCTTCTGAATGGGTGTTCTACAAAATGTGAAGAAGCCCTCCAGTTGCTTAAAATTGTAGTCAGTTGATGAATCGATCAACTGAATTATCTAAAAGCAAGAACTGTGAGCTGGGTTTTATTTTCATATGAGAATATTGGCCTATTTTTATCAAGCAAATCAGCAAGATATTCCTTTTGAGGTATCATGACCCCATTGCCAATGAGTCGATTCCAACTCACAGCAAGCCTATAGGGCAGAGTAGAACTGCCCCACAGAGTTTCCAAGGCTGTCATCTCTACAGAAGCAGATCACCACATCTTTCTCCCGCTGAGCAGCTGGTGGGTTTGAACCACCAACATTTGGTTCGCAGCTGAGCACTTTAACCACTGCACCACCAGTTTTCCTTAAAACTGTCATAAAATATTCGTACAAGAAAAAAAGAATTTATTTAATCGCAA